GATCGTGATCGTGGTCGTGACTATAGTTGAAATAAAAGTTCGTGATCGTGATTCACGACCTTGTTTTGCTCGTGATTGGGACCGTGATCGTGATCAAAAATATCAATCACGCAGTACACTAATTGGATGAATTTGCCTTACTCTGGTAAAATACAAGAGGGTTGGAATATTCTGGGGCACAATTGATACTCATTGTAATGGTGAAGCACCGCATTAAGTTTCAGCGGATCATCAACTCAAACAATTATATCAAAACAAATAGAATATTGATAGGTCCTCATTTCACTTCGCAATAGTGGTATTTGTTGAGGCTTATAAGACGAAAACAGCTTATAAAGCTGTACTTCAGTATTGTAATGTAATTTCAAAATTAATGAAATATAAATATCACTTAATACGAACCATTCAACTGTATTTTATCTTGAGATTTTTAACAAAAACACAACTTCATAAATTATCATGTTAGAAGCAACTCACGTTGTCAATTTTTCATGAAAAAAAATCGACAGTTCGAACGATTTACTCCGTTTTTATCAAGTTTTTTTTTTATAAAATTTCTCGATTAAATTAATATTTTCGGTATTGAACAGATCGATTTCAACTAAAAAAAAAAGTTGATTTTAATATGTCATAGTATATTCTGTCAGGTGGCGCCATCTTCAATAACAATTCAGACTTGAAGACTAAGCGACATCAATCGGTGTGACTGGTACAGACGGCTTGAACGTGCTCACAGTAATTAGTGGGCCCGATTTTGATTGCAATCTAACATTTTTCTAAGTGCTTCACAAAATAAACAGAAGAATCGCAGTTAACTGGCTGTTTTCGAGTGGTTTGAACGACATGAAGGTATTGCAAATCAACTTTTGCTTTTTTTCAACCACTTCAATGACTCAGTCCTCAAGCGTTCGTATTTTTGCTTCGATGCTTGTGTTTATCAGCATGTGCCAGGTGCAGTCGAAAAAAGTCTCTTTCTTGTTCTTCCTTCTGACGTTAGAAAAAGAAACACACTCTTTCATCATTAAGTTGCGTCGGCATACAGTCAATCTCACATCATTCTATACAGCAGTTTCACTAAGAAAAATAAATGGCTACAGACTTCCAAACATCTCTGGATACAATACCCGCCGAAATTCTCTATCATATTTTTGATAATTTCGATGCCGAAACTATTCTATTTCCAATACAATGCGTCTGTAAACGTTTGTATGCGGTTGCCAATACTTACCAGCGGTATAAGTTGAATTTGAAATTTATTTCCAGACGTACATTTCATATGGTATGTCATGCTATTCGCCCGGATAATGTCATTTCACTTGTTCTCTCCGATGGTAATAAAACACCTGGACAGATAAGCTTATTTTTCTCTCTCTTTCGTATCCAAGATTATACTCGACTTCAAACAATTACTCTTCTTCTAATCACCGACGTCGATTTGAAAACTATTTTAGAGCATATAGTTACACTTAGTTCTCTTGTTTCTCTATCGATTACATTGGATGAAAATTCATCTTATAGTACTGAAATAGCCACTTTACTCTCATCAATCATTGGACGATGTACTCTTCGAAAACTCAATTTAACTTTGAAAGACAATATGATAAATAATATAGTGTGGCCTGTTGAATGTTCACTTCAACATCTAACACTATTTGACTACCTCGATAATGAACAATTTTGTACTATCCTTCACTGTTCACCTCATCTCAAAACCATGAGTATACGAGACTGCATTATTAGTAATCCTACTCAACTCGAAAGTATTGTTTCGGACGGCACATCGTATCCACAATTGATCTCACTTACATTCGAAGATATTCAAATTGGCATGGAAATGATTAAACTTCTTCTATCACTAACACCTTCTTTAGTACATTTGAAATTGGTCGGTCATGGAGCAGAACTTTTCAATGGTTCGTATTGGGAACAGTTTATAAAGACAAAACTACCGGCGTTGAACAAATTCGAATTTATGATTCATAAAAATGTCGATACGAATCTTGATTCTGATAGTTTGGAGTCGCTCATTGCACCATATCGTACTTCATTCTGGCTTGAAATCAAACATTGGCTTGTTAGTGTTGTTGATATCAGGCAATGCTCAATTATTAATCTTCATTCGATTCCAGTTTGCGCATCAAAAGTCGATTATTATCCAAAATCCCATAAAATTTCCTGTTCAACTGCTCCTGCATTGGATTGCGATTCGAAGAAAATGAATAATATCCGTCAATTACGCATAAATTTATCAGAAATGATGGCTGATGACGCTATCACACAGGTACTTATTATTATTAACAATTCAATATTTTCCTTTTATTTTGTACAGTCAATTTTGTTGTTTACTAGAAATTGCTTTACTTGCCTTCAGAGTAATTTGAACGTTTGTTAAGAATAGCCTCCTTTAGAAAACTTAATATTCGTCAAAAAAAAAGAAGACTTTTAAGATTTTTTTCAGAATCAACCAAATCTTGCGCCTCTTGCAGGTGCATTTTTGACTTTTCAATGATTTGACGGCGTGAGTGTGGATCTTCACTTTACCCACATTCTGAGAGTCGATGTTTTATATGAAACCAAATGCTATATCTCTTATAAAGTCTAAAAGAATTCTTCTATATACGCTGCCGTTTTGGAATTATCCACACTATACTGGATTTTTTACCTATAGTACAGCATTTATAGAAAACAAATGAAACATAACTTCAAAAGGACAATCTATAGCGTAGAATCCTTCTGAATTTCTTCTGATTTCAACAGGCCCTATCAAATGACTGGAATCTCATTTAAAACGCAACGCATATCACTTCCGGTGGTTCTCTCGGTTAGTAGTACAATAGAAAAAACAATCAAAGAAAATAATGATCATGTGCTTATGCCTTGCTATCTGTATCATCAGTAAATTATCGAGAAATGACTCAATTTTTCTTTTGCATTTTCGCATATTCTATATGTGGTATATTTTATACTGTTTAGAGCACAATGCCAAGTCAGCGTTTGTTTGAGAAACTTCGGAAACTCACACTCAAAATCAATGATGATTGGCCCGATGGTTCATTTGAATTCCTCTCAAAATTGGTCGATTTATTAGTCCTCAAAGAGCTCATATTTGATTTCCATGCGAATTGTGATTCGACTTCAAACATCATAGTTAATATTGGCACTTTACTACAACATGCAACCAATATTCGATCTCTAATCCTTATAAATCAGCTTATAAGCATGCAAGATATATGTTCTATCTTGCCTCGTCATGTGCAACACTTACAAATTCCTGTGTGTGGCATTCAAGATATGAAAACGATTCTTGTAGAACTCAACCATTTATGGAGTGTCACATTTGACTTTTCATTAATTAGACAAGATTGTAAATTTGAGATTATAAAATGGCTCATCGAAGAAGAAAGAGAATTCAGTTATCGATCAAGCCGATATTCACTTAAACTCTGGCTCGACAAGAAAATCAATGAATTCAATCAATAGTCTCTGTAGAAACATCGGAGGCACTGCATTTTTTTTTTGAAAGAGCAAAGTCTGACGCATCCATAAGTCCTCATTTTTACAATCAATTACTATTTTCCTTACTAAGTCTTTCTAAATTTTTGTCATTATCATTGTTGTGTGATTTCTCATTGCATTAGGGAAGTTTTCCTCCTTCATGAAATCGTTTATTTGTTGACTTCAGCTACTTATGGGCACAATACCAGCCACTTACATCTTAGTAATATGACGATAACTCTTTAGAAAACATATGATGTGTTAAACTTAACGTATATCTGACCGTTCGAGTGAACAAACCCAACGAAGATCGATAGATTAAAAAACTATACGACATAATTCCATGTTTACCAACGTTCAACGATGTTGAAGAATGTGCAACTGACATCAAACATGATACAATGAAAAAAGGCATGTTTTTCATCATTTCTGATTTTAATAAAATATTCAAGAGTTCGAGTTTTGTTATTTTGTTTTGTTTTGTTTTAGTTTGAATTCGTAAAATTTTCTTGACTTTTGATTGAATTGGATGTTTTTATTTTTGTCAATTTAGGTTTTGATAAAATGTGATTGTTGATGAATGTAAAAGTTTATAGCAAAGATATTGA